TTTTATTATTGGATTAAGTAAACAGATTTAGGAAGTTTAAATTGCTCTTCTCCAAATTATATGACAGAAAGGCTGGAGAGGTGGCTAAGCAGAAGAGCATTTGCTGGTCTTGTAGAGGACTCAGGTTCCTAGCACCTACAGGACAACTCACAGTGGCCTGTAACTCCAGTTCCCATAGTTAAATCCCTCTCTGGCTACCAAAGGTACTGCATACATGTGATGCACATACATACATGCAGGTAAAAACTCATACACAGAACATAAAAATGAAAAACTCTTCAAAAATTTTTTGAAAAAAGTATATGACTAAGCAGATATGACTGACATTAAAACCAATCCTTTGTTTGCTGAGACTAAGTCTCACTATATGAAGCAAGTTGGCTTCCAACTTCCAATATCTTTTCTGCATTCTGGGTGCTGGGATTAAAAAAGTTCACGCTACATCCAAGTAAAATTCATACTTTCAACACAGATTATATGCAATTAACAAACTTACTGAGGTATTGGGGAGGGGGAAGAAAGCAGGTTTACTATACTCATTTATGATAAAATGTCATACAATGTTAGTTTTTAAATATAAGGCATAATAAAGACTCTATAACACATGAGAAGCTACTAAATATTTGGATTTCTTCCCCTAAAGACTCCATTGTTAAGTTGGGGGTGTAGTCCCCAGCCCCTAGCATCTATCCCAGCCTCTCTGATCTGGGAGTTGCTTTGGTCTGGACTCCAAATCCCAGCATGCCAGGTCCTGACCCTCCAGGACCACTCCCACATGGTATTTATGTGAGCTCCCAAAAGAGGAACTTATCCCTTTTATAACAGTCACTGCATTAAACTATCTGTCTCAACACTTGGGAGGCCAGTCTGGCCTACAAATCAAGTTTCAGTACAGCTAGGCTGTTGTTACACAGAGAAACCATCTTGGGCAGGGGGCAGGTGGGGAGGGAGGATATGCATATTAAAGTTTGTGTAGGCATGACTTGCTTTTCTATGCTCAAATGATCTAATCAAACTAGATGCTCGAAAAGTTATTTATGAGTAAAAAGCCAGTGATTAAAGAAACAGGAAAAATAATGAATACAAACTGAGATTTAAAAGTATAGGATTATATGATTATCAAGGGGAGACACACACACACACACACACACACACACACACACACAGAAGAAATTTTATTAGTGATTTCTGAAAATTTCCAAGAAAATATATGAGAAACAAATCATTTCATATTTTCTCAAATATAAATAGTATGCATTTAAAATGTTTATTTTATGTAGATGTGTGTGTGTGTGTGTGTGTTAGTATATGTTTTACACTATGAACATATAGAAGCTAGAACTACAGTTGGTGCTGGGAACCAAATCTGGATCCTCTGAAAGAATAGTCAGTACTCTGAACCACAGAGCCATTTCCAGACTCAAATACCATGCACTTAAAAACCAAAACTTTATTGGATCATGTAAATATTTCTCCCAAGTAGTTCCTTTTTTAATTTTTTTAAATTATCCTTCACCTCTACCGTGTGTGTGTGTGTGTGTGTGTGTGTGCGTGTGTGTGTGTGTGTGTGTGCGTGTGTGTGTGTAAGCCTGAACTCAGGTCAAGAGGCTTGGTAGTAAGGTAGCAAGCACCTTTACCCACTGAGCCATCTCACTTGAGCCTTCTACATAATTTCTTAAAGAGAACTAGTATATTCTCAAAACTAGAACAAATAAAGTATTTGTTTCCGTTTTTTTCTAACTATAAAAGTAATTAAGGGCTGGAAGATGACTCAAAAGTTAAATGCTCCTGCATTTCCTGAGGACACGTCTTCAGTTCCCAGCACACACAGTGGCTCATAACCTTCTGTAATTCCAATTCTAGGAGATCTAATGCCCTCTTCTGATCTTCACACAGATACTCCATGCAAGTGGTTCACTTACACACATGTAGGCAAAATATTCATTCACATAAAATAAAAGTAAATACACTTTAAGCTGGGTGGTGGTGGTGCACACCTTTAATCCCAACACCCAGGAGGTAGCAACAGGCAGATTTGGGTGAATTCGAGGACAGCCTGGTCTACAAAACGAGTTCCAGGGCAGCCAGGGCTATACAAAGAAATCCTGTTTTGAACACTAAAATCAAAAACAAACAATATTTACAAATAAAGAAATGTCTATAAGTTACTTTGGTCATGGTATTTCATCACAGCAAGAGAAAAGTACCACATAGATATACCTGTGTAGATGAAGTCTAGAAGTAACTGAAAGATTTCAGCTTCAACTCCTAGAATCTGTACAATGTCTCTTGAGGACTCTTTCATTCCTCCAGTGAACAAAGCTGCGAAGTATGGACTGCTCGCAGCCAGAACCAGCCGGTGAGCGTGAAAGGTTTCCTTCCCGACCTGCAGCTGGACATCACAGAAATGCTGTCCATTTCTCATTTTGTTGATTTGGGCCAAGATGAGCTGGGCATGTTTATCAGAGGAAAATGAGCTATCGCCAGCCTTGGCACACTCCTCCTTAGACATGATGACCACAGGTTAATTAAAGAGACTCTTGCCCATTATTTGCTTCTACCCTGAGAAACAAAACACAAAGATCAAACATATCTTTTTGTTAATATATTTTCTATTCACATATAGATGAAACATTCTCTATCATTTATTTAATTAGGATCGTAAAACACATACCAAACAAATAAGAGCTATACCGTATGGTATGACTTCTAAGATGCTTTTTGGTAACAGAATGTGTACAACAAAGGACGCTTCACAGAAGAAATAAGCACTAAGTTGGGCACTAAAAGATAAATGGAAGTAAGGTATAAAGAACAGTCGCAAACCCCTCCTTGGATAAAGAGACGAAGGAGCAAAGGCGAAACTCTTATCATGACAGTCAGGAAGTAGACATCCTAGGCAGGATGAACTTCTAAAAATCAACTGTGACCAGTCCAAATGTCTGCTTAAAATCTTTCAATCTGCATGCTTCCCTCAACATAGGAAGCCTTTGGGGATCCTTGTTATAACCCAAAGCTGTTCAAATAAAGCTTTTCCAGACAACATTTTTCTGTTTCTGTCCTCTAGACTTGGTGATCATCCTAACCTACCTATGTTATAGCTTATATTACACTCAATCTTGTTAGATATCTCTGCCATCTTAATCCCAGTTTACACACATTCATAAACACACCAATTTCTTGAAAGATAGTCCCTTCATGACAGGAATTGGCTTCTATTGCTATAGGATCGGTCTCCAACATATATCAGCATTTCAAATGTTTGTGAAATAAGAAAAAACAAAAGGCTTGGGTTTTTGTTTTATGAGACAAGGGTCTCAAACTTGTAATGACCCTCCTTCCCTGACACCCTAGTGCTGGGATTACAGGCATGTGCTGCCATATCTGACTCAATTGTTAGCTTCTGCACAAATTATAGCAACTGTGGTTTTTGTTTTGTTTGGTTCTGTTTCTTTAAGACAGGGTCTCACCATATAGCCTTGGCCAGACTGGAACTCACTATGTAGACTTCCCTCAAACTCAAAACAATCCATCTGCCTTTGCCTTCTGAGTGCTGGAACTAAAGGTCTATGCCTTATCCTCAATTGTAATTATCATAATATCTAAGAGATGAAAAGAAAAAGATAATCTCTGAGGTCACAGAAAAGGAAACTATCAGACTTTCCCCAGCATTAGTATATCGGCAGTCTCATGTTTATTTATTCTAAGCCTAGGGTTGTTCCTACCATATCATATTGTATAGAAATTATCAGACCAAGTTGTAGAGAATGGAACCCAAGTACAGAAACTTGAACCTAAATCTTTATAGGTTTAACAAAAATAAACATGTCAATAGTAATTTCAGAACTCTTGGGTTCTTCAAGTATGCATGAAGTAGGAGATAACAAAAATCCAATTCTTTTATTATTTCTTATGTCACAAACAAAAATTGCAGATAAGCAATAGTATAGATTTTAATGAGAATCAAAGGGATAAATTTAAGTTACTGAATAAATCATGCATTCTTACAATATAAGACAGGCAGGTACAGCAGAGAAACTGTTAAGGTGATCATGGTCTTGTACTTTGGCATGAAGGAAAATTAGTAATAAAATTGACAGAACTGTTTTAAGCTGACATTTAAAAAAAATTGTTCATGGGGCTAGAGAGACGGCTCAGAGGCTGAAAGCACTGGCTGCTCTTCTAGGGGACCTGGGTTCAATTCCCAGCAACCACAAGGCAGCTCACAACTGTCTGTAACTCCAGTTCCAGGGCTTCTGACACCCTCTCGCAGACATACATGTAGGCAAAACACCAATGACACAAAATAAAGCAAACGAAAAACTAGTTCAGAATATAGAACTCAGTCAAAATTATCAGTAAAAACAGGCTGGGGCTGGGTGTGGTGCAGAGGCCGGCAGATGTCTTAGTTCCAGGCCAGCCAAGACTAGTGAAACCTTATCTTAATAACAATAAAACTGTTATGTATGACTATCTAGAAACTTTGAGAGGCTTGAAGGGAGTCACTAAAATTTCACTTCAGTATGTACACAATGCCAACATCTTACAAGCAAGTCTATTTCCCCTCCATGTAGAAATTCGGCCTGTATGGATCTCTCTGAATTCAAGGCTAGCCTGGTCTACAGTGGGACTTCCAGAACAGGCTCCAAAGCTACAGAAAAACACTGTCTCGAAAAACCAAAAAGAAAAAAAAAAAAAAGGAAAAAAAAATCCGACCTGTAGATGTTACTAAACATGGCATGGATATCAAGCTTGTTTGTGCTTTGTTTTTTTTTTCCCCAGTAGAAGATTTTGAACCCCTGAGGTGTGATGCGAGGTTTCCTACGTTTGTCTCTTACTGAAAGTACCAAAACACAGTCACTAAGTCAAAATAGCTCCTGTTACAAGAAACAGTGTACTAAATATCACTCTGGCAGTAGAGCCGAATGTTTGCTGTCACCCTCCTGAGTAAATGCTGATTCCATCCCACTGCCAGTGAAGCGCCTCATCCCAAACGGGAAATGATTGGACATTACATAGGAAAAGCAGAGTTCTGGGGTAGTGCATAGGGATCTAAGGCCTATGTCTCAACAGATCCAACTTGAAAAGCCGTTTATTAGCCAACGATGGACACGATCAGGGTAACCAAAGAGGGCTTATGTTTTGGTGGCCTCGATTTCCCTCTCAAGAGCATCTGAAAGTTGACTCAGTAAGGAGGCCAGAACTCCAGCTGAGCATCAAAACTACTGAGATTCTTTTCTGTGACTGAGTTGGAGGCTGGAGCTAGCTTTCTCCCTCAGCTGATCGACACTAAAGGCAGAAAATCAACTCGGTGCTATCGACGGCGCAGGCCAAGTAAGGAACTCAGGCCACAAAGACGGCAGAAAATCAGGGCCCGGGCCAGCTTTGGGTTTCCCAGTGGGGGTGGGGAGAACAGAGAACGCTGCGGCGACGGCGACATCACTTGGACTCGGAGGTGGCAGGAGAAAAGCCGAGGAAAGTGCGTTCCAAAGCACCAGTCACTGGCATCTTGCCGGTCCGGAGAGCCGGACAAGAGGACGTTCCTAAACCTGTGAGAAACACACACCGGACGCAGGACCCGCTTACCCGCCGCGTCCCTTCCCGCAGGCGCCCTCAGAGGCTCTGCGCGCAGTCGCGGGTGGTAGTGGAGGGGGCGGGGACAGCTCGCAGTGACTGGCGGCCCTGGCAGCTGAAGGCGCAGCCTCTCTGCGCAGGGCGGGGCCTACTACTGCGCGTGCTCCGCTTCTGGGCCCGCCTCCTCACAGCCTCGGGCGCTGGTGACCTGGGTAGTCGCTCGCTGCCAGCGGCTGGGACTTCTGGAAGCCTTCCTTGGGCTCTCCGGGTGCGCTCCCCTGGTCCGCTCAATGTACATTTTCTGTTCTGTAAGATTTTAGACAATTCTGAAGCCATTTCTGACAATTCCAAACCCTCTCAGCCTCTGTGCCTCAGTGCTTCCCCTCCTCCCCTGGGAACCAAGGACCTAACAGCTACACATGCACGTACTCAGTTCCTGAACAATTACCCATACACGTATGTTTTGACTCAGTCCCCTGGGAAACGGGGTCAAAATGACCTCTTACCTCCTCTGATCTGACAATAGTTCTCCAGTCAATTATTGGTATTAGCCCTTTTCGAATAAACCAATCATAATAGTCAAGGAACAACCCCTCTTGTTTCTATGGGGCCTTCTCCTTTAAAAGTAGACTGTACCAGCTAGTTGGGGTCTCTCGGCTTCCCGAATGCTGAGGGACCCTGTCATGACAGAATTAATAAAATCCTCATGTTTTTGCGTCGGCTGTGGTATATGAGACGGTCTCTGGGGGCTCGGTTTGGACACTAGAGTCCAACATTTGGTTCCCTGACCGGGAATCGAGTTGTTCCCAGACAAACTTTAGACCCAGTTGGAGATATAAAGAAACGGGCTCATTTTTATGTTTGTCTGTTTATGTATTATATTTCTGTTTCTATGTAATTATAAATAAATAATTTAAAAATTATACTTGCGCAGGGTCTATATTGAAACAGGGCTAAGGGAGGAGGCAGACGTGTCCTGAGATCCCTTGCCCTAGCCCTGAAAGACGTTTCATGGGCATTTACTGGAGGGAAGGGTGACCAGGTCACCCTAATCTCCAGGGGAGGCATGATCCTCCATCTATATTTTTGGATCTGCTGCTGCACGGCTCCTGATTTGGAGTCTGTCTGTCTTTTTGTTCTTATGTATTTTCAGTTCTGCACTAGAGTGGTGATGAGAGCACCAGCTTCTGGTTTTAAATTTGTGTCTGCTTCTATGTATTTTTGTTTTTGTATGTCAGTTTGTCTTTGTTAAAATCCACCTGCAGGAATTCAGAACCTGTCAATGGCCCCCTGGCCATCATCAGTTTCCCTGATTCCGAAAGCAGCCCCATAGCTGGAGGAGGCGATATGGTGGCTGCGCCTCCCTGAGCCCTTTGTCTTCTCTCTTTCCTGTACAGGAGCGAAAGAAACCCAGAATCCAGGCATCTCCAGTTCTTCCTGTTATCCAGTCAAGCATGGCAGACTTCTCCCTCCTCCTCCCCGGAGGAAACACTTCGTTCCTGAGGAGCCCTGCTGGTCGGGTCCTAGCCCTAAAAACTTCAGCACTCAGCATCTACGCTGGGACAGGGGAGGGACGTCCGCTAGGGAGAGAGTGACCTCCCAAGCATTTCCCTTTCGCTCAGTATCAGGTCAATTACAATACTGCTTTTTTTTTCTGCCTCTAATCTTTACTTATAACCCTTTCTTTTCTTGGGACCCTCAGACCGTGACTGGGCTTATAGAATCTGTTCTGGTTACCATCAGCCCATTCAGGATGATTGCCAGCAACTCTTACAGGTGTTCCTGACTACAGAGGAAAAACAGTTCTCTTTAAAGTTTAAAAAAATGTCCCAGGAGCTGACAGCAGGCCAACCCAATCACCGAACGATAGAGGACATGACAGGATGCCTTCCCTCTGACTTGACCCAAATGGGACTTCAATACTCCAGCTGGTAGGGAGCAGCTCCATCTTTAATGCCAGATTCTGACTGGTGGGTCTAAAAAGGGGGGTTGCAAAGCACCCCATTAATTTGATAATTTGGCTAAGGTAAGAGCAATAGTACAAATAGTACAATTTGTACTATTGCAGGCAGATCGCCAAGCCAATGTAATGATGTCTTTTATAGATCAGTCAGCGTCAGACATTTGTAACAAGTTGCAGAGAATGAAGGGACTGCAGAGATGCTCCCTCCAGGACTTAATAAAAGAAAAAAAAATTAGACAGATAGGGAGGCAACAGAAGACGACAGCTGCAGAGACTGTGCACCTCAGAGTAGCCCCTGAGTGGCCGAATATGGACTTAAGCTGACACCATCTGGATCGAATAAAAAAAAAAAACAAAAAACAAAAAAACAATGAGGAGGAATGGCCCTACAGGGCTTTGGGCTCGAGACACTTCCCAAAGCAGTTGCTGAGCAGAAGTGGTCAGAGAACGACAATGAATACAGCCGGCTACTGAAGCGGTGCTCTGCCCACCTGAGAGGCCTACGCAGTGACCACCATGACAGTACTGAAATTCCCCCGCTTGCTTATGTTGTGCATCCAGGTGTCTGATTCTGGGGTATACGGGGTGGTGGGGTGGGAGGAATTCCCCTTTGCTGTGTCTAAAACATTTGACTATGGATTGAGTACTCTATGTTATCAATGAACCACCTTATGAACTGTAGATCTGGAATTAAAAGCCTTTTTGTTTTCACTCCCCCTGCTGTTTCCCCTGCAGGGAAAGCAGGCTGCTCTCAGTCTTTTGCCACCTCGCTGGGCAAGACCGCTGCAGACAACAATGAGCCAGGGTAGCAGGCGGGGTGGGCGCCAAGGGCGCTTCAGGCTGGAGAGGCTCAGGCAGGCTGGTGGATGCCCCCACCTCACCGGAGTTTGGAACAGATCCAAGGCCAGCAGCGCAAATTCAGTGGCCTATGAGGCAGAACCGCAAGGAGCGGAGCCCGAGAGCTAACCAGAGCAGCACAGCAAAGAGGGGCAAGGAATAGCAGCCAGAGTCCCTGGCCGGAAGAAGGCCAAGGAACCCGCGCACCACGCCGCCACTGCCACTGTGGGCAACGACCCCTCTGTTGCTGACTGAGCAGGAGGTCTCATATGAGATGGTCTCTGGGGGCGACTCCTTCTCGGTTTGGACACTATAGTCCAACAGTTCTTAATGTGTCCCGGGCCAGCCACCGATCTCGGCGTTGAGAAAAACCATGTGCATAGTGTTTCTCTACCCGTTTATTGGCTCTTCTGGAACTTGCTTTGTAGACCTGGTCGGCCTCGAACTCACAGAAATCCACCTGCCTCTGTCTACCGAATGCTGTGATTAAAGGCGCGCGCCACCATCGCCAAACCCGAACTATTTTTTTAAGATTTTAATTTTAAATGTAAGTGCAATACCCAAGGAGGCCTGAAGAGGGCCGCAGATCCCCTGATGCTGGAGTTACATGCTGAAAACAACTCACTTAATTTAAGTGAAGTGGGCTCTTTGTCAAGAGTTGTAGCACAGGCATATAATCCCAGCACTCAGGAGGATTTCTGTGAATTCGAGGCCAGTCTAGTCTACATAGTGAGTTCCAGGATAAGTAGGACTATGTGCGTTATTCTTTTGCGGTCTCTTTAAGGACTAACCACGCCCACCCCAGCCACTTCTGACCTCCCTCGCCACCATCTTTTCTCTCTCATGTGTTTGTCTCTTGTTGTGTGTACATGTGTCTTTGTTCTTCTCTATGTTTTTCTTATGTCTCTCTGTTTTCCTCTTCTTTAAGCAATAAATGTCTCCCTCTTCTTTAAATAATACTATGTCCTGTGAGCCTTTTATCCGCTGTAACCGCCCGCCTGACTCCCTCGGCTGCATGGCGCTGCCATCCTAGAGATCTTGCAGGGACCCACAGCCATCTTTGTCGGACTAGAAGCTGCTCTGCGAGCCGCCCGGGGCATCCTATCATCATATTCTTTTAAAAGAACAATAATGTGGAGAGACCCTTTCTCAAAAATAACAGGTATAACAGAGAAAGAGAGAGACGCTTTCTTAGACATTTTGCCATCTTCTCTCCAGCCCTCAAACTTCTTGTTTTTAGATCCTGACCTACTGCACAAAAATATTTTACATCAAACACATACCATGTGTTTGTATATACAGATGTATAAGCTAAAACAAAATGTTCACAAAACTATGTTTACATTTATCCCACAGGCTTTCAATTTCTGCTTTACATTTCATTATGAAAAAATGCAAAAAAAATTTGCAAAAATCTTGTTGAGGACACAGAAAAAAGTAAAAGGAGCCAGGCAGTGGTGGTGCACGCCTTTTATCATAGCCCTCTGGAGGCAGAGGAAGGCGGATCTCTGAGTTCAAAGCCAGCTTAGTCAACCGAATAAGTTCCAAAACAACCAGGAATATACAGAGAAATCCTGTCTCGAAACCTGTCCCCCCAAATGCGAAATCACAAAATTTTCAGGAAACTGAGTAGACTTAAGATGTATAATTGTAAGCGAAGTAACACAATCTCAGAAAGGAAAGGTCCATGTTTTCCCTCATATGCAGGATCTAGTCAGTAATATACCTTAGATGCAAACAGCTGTAATACGGTACAGTGTAAATAGAACATAGAAAAGAAAACAAGAAAGGCTGCATATCAGGGGAGCAGGAAGGCCTGAACGGACATGAGTTATGAAAGCGGATATAAAACTAGGGTTTTTTCTGGTTCTAAATTGTGTTGGATTTTTTTCATTTTTGGTGGTTGCTGAGAGCAGAAAAATATATTCTGTAGAGAAAGTGTAGAATCCAATATGAAATTCCACAGCTGCAGAATGGCTACTCTAACTGTATAGAAGTCGCTGACTTTGGGTCTGACTAATTTTAATGTATGATGTTTATTTTATTTAGAAACTTTGTTTTTATAATAAAGTTTATAATTTTTTAAAAAACAATGAAGGACTGGTATATGCTATAATCGGCATGAAGATTGTATACTACATGATAAGCCCATCATAAAAAATACATTGTATAATTACATTAATATGAAATATTTAGAATAGGCAAATGGACAGAAACATACTAAATTAGCAGTTACAAGGGACTGAGGGAAGAAGCGACTGGTAAAGAGTATGGGATTTCTTTTGGTACAATGAAAATATCTTGGAATTGGGTAGTGTTGACATTTTCACGACTGTGGAAACACTAAAAGAAATCATTGGCCTGAATGCCATAAGAGAGTAAATGTTATGGCATGTGAATACAGCTCAATAAAAGCTGCTGTACCTGTTTAATGTTAGGCTGTGTTATTCCTGCGCTCAGGGATCGCCAGTGACTCTCCATTTCTTTTAGCGCAAAAGTCAACTTCTCCCAATGTAAAGACTCTGTAGAGGGGAGTCAAAGGGTAAGAGCTATCCTGCAGCCCATCTATGATGCTCTTCTTTCATCCCAGCACTCAGGAGGCAGAGGTAGGTGGATTTCTGTGCTTTGGAGGCCAACATGGTCTATAGAGTGTGTTCCAGGACAGCCAGGGCTCTTTACCCAGAGAAAGCATATCTCAAAAACCTTAAAAAGTAATAACAGTAATAAATGCTACTAATAATTAATCATAGAGTTATCTTGCAGAGGATCCAGTTTCACTTTCTAGCACCCACATGGTAACTCACTGCCATCTGTGACCCCAGGGACTCCAACAAGGACACAGATGGCGCACATACATGCATACAGGCAAAGGAGTCATAATAAACAAATAAACAATAGTTTGTTTTCTTATTGGTGTATTCTCCATACCTTAAGCATACATCTGTTTGGCATTTTGCATTCTAGATTGTTCTTTTATAAACTATCCTTTTGTTCCCTTCACATCTGTTTCTTCAGATTTTACCTTTTCAGTGAGACCATAATGGTATTCTTATCTTAAATTATAACATCTCTCCCTATATTCTCATCTATATATTTTTCTTCATCAAAGGTGTTGTCTTAGGGTAACTTTTGCTGCGATGAAACACCATGGGAAGGAAAGGATTTATTTCACTCACAGTTCCATATAACAGCTCATCAAAGGCAGTGAGGGCAGAAACTCATGCAAGTCGGGAACCTGGAGGCAGGAACTCATGCAGAGGCCATGGAGTCCTGTTTACTATTTACTTGCTCCCCATGGCTTGCTTGCTCAGTCTGCTCAGCCTGCTCAGCCTGGGTTTTTACAGAACCCAGGACTACCAGCCTAGGGTTTCCACACCCACAGTGGACGGGGCTCTCCCCCATGAATCACTAATTAAGAGAATGTCCTACAGGCTTGTCCACAGCCCATCTCATGGAGACATTTCCTCAATTGATGAGAGCCCCTCCTCTCTGATGACTCTAGCTTATGTCAAGTTGACACAGCAAGTACACTTATTGTCATTTCATATACTAGTTTTAAAAAAAGATTTAATTATTTTTTATATATTTTTTCTGAGTTTCTCTCTGTAGCTCTGACTGTCCTGGAACTTGCTCTATAGACCAGACTGGGCTCAAATTCAGAGATCTGCCTGCCTCTGCCTCCTGAGTGCTGGGATTAAAGGTGTGTATCATCACTACTTTGCAAGATTTTCAGTTATTTGTATGTGTGTCTCTGTGTGGTTGTGTGCACATGAGTGCAGATGCCTGCAAAGGCCTCAGACATTGGATCTACTAGAGATGGAGTTATAGAACAGTCATGAGCTGCCTGAAGCAGGTGTTAGAATTTGAACTTAGGTCCTCAGGAACAGCAGTATATGCCCTTAACTACTGAGACATCTCTTCAGTCCAGTTATTTCTTGTTGATATGTTTATTCACAATCTTTCCATATCCAAGTGTGAATTCCCCATCATTCCTGTAATCTGTATTATTATATCCTTGCTGCCTAGAATGAGCACATGAAGGATGCTCAATAGCCATTAAGTGAATGAACATTTGACTTTTTTTTAATCTCATCTTCTATCACTTAGAGGCATCCTCCCACAAGTTGAATTATATTAGTTTCTTTCTTAAAATTCTTCAGCAGATGCCGTTATCTTCAAAAAGAAAGGAAAAGAGACTTTTAAAAGTAGAAGTCAGAGCCAGTGGTGGTGGCACACA